TGCTTCAATATTGTTGAGGTCCAGGCTCTGGAGAGGCCAATCTATTACTGATAGTTTCTATCCAGGTATGCTTTTTATTGTCTGTGTGTTTAGGATCATTGTCATGCTGAAAAATGAAAGCAGTTTCAAGTCAGATGCTTTAAAGATGGTGGATCAAAGTCTGACGGTTTCTTTATGTCACGCCATAATGTCAGACTCAAGGTTATGGACAATAATTGGTAAGTTTATCTAAGAGTTTGAGCACATAGTGGTTTAGAAACATAAGCTGTCAGTCCTCTCTAAAGCAGTACTGCTTATGGCTGAGTCTGAGTATCCAGTGACATCTCCAGTAGTCAACACCATCAACGCACAGCCATAGCCGCCAATCATCCAACTCAGCAATAAGTGTCTGTGCGTGCTGTTTCCTAAAAAAACAACAACAGAGAAAAACGACATGCCTTTTTCGTCTGACAGAAAGCAAAGAGGACAGCAAGAATGACGTCTAAACTCGCCAGACTATGACAGCCATCCTGACAAATTAAACCCTGCTCAGTATTAGAACATTGTGTCAATTGTGGTAGAATTAATGCATTAATTCAGGCTTAAAGTACAGTTTTATGGTATTATTTTCCCTTGAAAATGAAGACAGAGGTGTCAAAAATCTGAATGGGATGCTCCATTTGCATGCCAGCTTCCATTAACATGATAAAACCTTAATACAATGAAACAACTGTCTTCTATAAAGACTTGTTTTACAATGACTGCTCAGAAGTAGAGGAGGATGTACGTGATTAAAAATTAACTGAAGCAGAAACACCACAGTTTGAAACCTGGCTTTGTGCACGCTCGCTTATGTACACACTAATCTGGAAAACTAATAAGACTCAATATAATACCAGAGTCATCTGTATGCTAGGTGCAGACACTGTGGGGTAATAAATGACCTTGGACTGCCGACAACTTTTTGGGATGGCCTGTATTGTATTTCAGCTGGTAACAAGAAACGGCGATATGCTCACAAATCAGATTAATTGGACACGACTCATTCCTCTCCCCCTGACAGAGGACATCAGTGCCTGTTTATAGATGACAACATTGCTGGTGAAGATTTAACAAGGCCAGCAAACAGCTAAAGCCAACACAACATCAAATATCAGCTCTACATTTAGAGTAGCTATTTTATTCGAATGCCACAACCACACGGGATCTACATCCAGATTGTATGGTTGGTAAACTGTGTGATAATTCTAGCATATTTTGACAAATATAAGACTGACTGGTCTGCAGTTTTATTTCTTCATTTGAGCAAAAGAGGCCCATTTTAATTAAGCAGGTGTTTATGGGTGGTCTGCGGTTCGATCCCTGGCTGCATCACAAAGTATCCTAGGGCAAGATACCAAAGCCCGATTTGCTCCTGATGCGTTCTTTGGTGTGTTCGTTTTAGATAGATGAAGAAAAGTGTGTGAATAGGTGAATGAGACATGTTGTGCAAAGCACAAGCACATGTCATCACACCTCTAACTACAGTGAGGAAGCAGAAAACTATCTATTCTTCTTTACTTACTTATTTGGCTATGGTTGGCTTACTGTATAAGATTATCAACAATCTATTGCCACAACCACATAAACAGTTTGTAGCAAAATATACACACTTTATTAGTTACCCCTTGGTAGTACTGGTTTGGTCCCCTTTTTTCATCATTCATGGCATGACTTCAGAAGGTACCAAACATTCATCAGAGATTTTGGTTCATGATGACATGACGGCATCGTGCAGTTGCTGCAGATTTGTCAGCTACATGATTGGAATCTCCTGTTCTACCACATCCCAGATGTGCTCTATTGGACAACCATCAACAGCCTGAACTGCTGATACAGAATAGGATGGATTTATTCTTTCATGTTGAAATTTGGACCTTTCCATCTGAATGTCCCAGCAGAATCACGACTCATCAGACCAGGAAACATTTTCCAATCTTCTATGGTCCAGTTCTGGTGAGCACATATGAATTGTAGCCTCAGTTTCCCATCTGGTCTTCTGTTGCTGGAGCCCATCTAGGTTCAATGTGTTGTGCATTCAGAGATGCATACCCGTATGTAACAAGTGCTTATTTGACTTACTGTTGTTGTTCTGTCAGCCTGACCATTCTCCTGTGACCTCTGGCAGAGCAGACTGGCAGAGCAGCTCTAACACCTTTACAATAACACGTATAAATCCACATCTTTATTCCTATTTGCTAACATATTTGAAATCTCAGTAATTTAATTTAAACATTACCACCTTTGACTTTTATAAAAATCATATTTCTCAGTCCATTTTCCTAATGTGAGCTCAGTACACAGCGACCTCATGTATAAGAAAATCAAGTCCAAATATAAAGGTGCAGATTTGGTGGTGATTTGTCTACTGAGACTGATAGGAGAAGGCACCTAGTCCATCTGATATACACAAAATCACGACTGGCAAATGTTTTAGAC